AATTACAATCTTCACACATAAACATAAGATACAAAATGGAGTAAGTTGATATTCACAAACGTGAAATCGCGTTTTCATTATCTTCAGTAATGCTTCTCGGCGATGTTCGGTCCTCGTCAGGGAAATGAACCGTAATTTAACTCCTTATTAATTTTATTTTTTCTTCTAAGTTAAATGACCAAATTACATACTCTGAAGATGAAATTTTATTCCCATTAGAGTTATTTCTATTTAAATTAATTGTTATTTTTTTATAATTTGGTAATTATACAGAGCTTATACGATCCCTCATTACCTCAGTTACATATAACATTAATTAATTACCCCTATTCCTAATAAAATATCATTTTTAAAAATAAAAAGATACCAAAATGTGCGCTACAACCACTAGTCTGACAAAATTCGGGGAACTGTAGAGATATGTGAATAATGTCAGCTATGGAAAAGCTTATTAATTCTGACTCAACATGATTCGTAATTCGTTTGCTAAGAGAACAATAAGCGACGCTCTCAAATGGGAAATGAGCCAACAGTTGCGAATTCATGCTTCGCATTGATTAAACTGCTTGGTACCTATGAAATGAAACAGTTCTCATGTGTCATTTATTTGTAAATAATGTTTCAGTTTTATTATTACAAGTGTTGATTTAATTTGCAATTCTTGTTGTTAGTATGTTTCGGGGAAATGCAAGCTGAATTAGAACCATAATTAATAAACTAACGGCTTTACAATTTTGCATGCTTATAAATATATGAAAAAAAAAAAAAAGAATGCGTATTTCAAAGGCCTTGATTCCCTATGCCATTCATAATTCCTTTCCTATAACGCGTGACGTCACGAGTCACTCGCAACTCAAACAAAATATTAGTAAATAGTAATGAAAGTCTTGTTGTCGAATTAAAAAAAATATTTCTCGTCGCGTTTTCAAAAACAATTGAAACGTACATAAATCTTATCATTCGAAGATTTGTAGATTTATTAGACTGCAATTATTATTTCTTTCCAAACTTTATTTCAAGTAGATTTTTTAATTTGTTCGATCATACCATGTTGCAGTATTTTCGCCCCATTGCGGATTGGCGGACATGGCTATATATCCGTAGTTTATACTTAACCGTAACAGTGGTACTGAAAATTGATCTCTTAGTATATATCCCACTTAGGATATATTTATTTGCGAACAATAATTTTTTTTTTTCGTGGGGAAATCCGTTATGGATACCTGAGCTTCCTGAGAGGGGAAACCCAGGTTATGTCGGACTCGCACCGACTAAAACCCCACGGTGGTCGCCAGCTACTTAAATGAGGGGTCACGGGATCTCCTTTTGGGAACACTACCGCGGCCCTCCTTCGTATGGCTAAGATAGCCCCATCCCCGCAGTGTTATATATACTGCAAGACCTGCACGGGTCTGCTGCCTTCACAGCGACCGTTGTCTTAGGTAGGGGAGAATCATTTATATTTAAAGGCCATGAGGAGATGCGCGAGCATCTCTGCGGCCCCGCCTCCGAGTGGGATCCGTCCTCTCTCTCTCTCGCTCAGCAGCCTCCTTTTGGACCATTACCCTCTCACAGAAGATGGCTACGGCCCTCCATGCCGTATCCCCACTCAGCATCGCCGACACGACTGCTGGTAGAGAGAGGTCCCGTCCGATTTCACCCGTTAGGGTAGCACGTTCCAATTCCCACGCTGGACAATTTGCCAGTGTATGGGATGCAGAGTCTTCATCTCTCCCTCCGCAATGTTTGCAGCTCGCGGTCGACTCACGCCCGATCTTATACAGATAATTACCGAAACATCCATGTCCGGTAATTATCTGTGTAAGTCTGTAAGTGAGTCTACCTCCTCGTCGATCCATCCAGGCTTCAAATACCGGCAGGAAAGCTTCAACAACGCGTTTGCGCGCATAACGCTCTTCACTGAGCCGAGCGCGCCACGTCGCTAATGCATTCCGCCGTTCCCGCTGTTTAATTAACCGGAAGGCCTCTTCTGACTCGTTTCCACCGTCCTGACGGAGGATGCGGGTTTGATGATAAACCCGTGCATCCATGGCTGCCAGTATATCGAGAGGTGGAAAGCGAGCTAAGATAGTCGCCGCTTCAAAGGATACGGTTCGGTATCCTCTTACGATCCGTATTGCCATCCTACGCTGGATACTGTAAATTTTGGATCTACAGCGACGAATAGCAAGCCTATTAGCCCATACTGGCGCTCCGTATAAGGCAACGGATCGCACGACCCCTGCATAGAGGCGACGAACCTCCTCTATCGGTCCCCCAAGATTAGGCAGCACTCTGCACATGGCACCCGCTACCTTCTCGATCCGGGGAACGAGGCGCTTAAAATGTTCCTCAAAGCCCCAGCGACCGTCCAGATGAAGGCCCAGATACTTCATGTACCTTCCCACTCTGACATCAGTTCCACCAACAAGAATGTGTGAATCGGGTGGTTCCCTGCTGCGTGGCAACTTGTGAAACCATAACGCCTCGGTTTTATGTGGCGCTATTTCCAATCCCAGCTCGTGGATCTTGGCAACGACTCTTCGTACTCCCTGCTCGGCGAGTTCCTTGGTCCCCTGAAAGGCATCCCCGCTAGCGATCACTAGAGTGTCATCTGCATAACAGACGACATCCACATTCGCAGGGAGGTCAACACGTAGGACTGCATCGTAGGCGATGTTCCACAGTAACGGGCCTAGTACGGACCCCTGTGGCACACCACGCTGGATCTCCCTCCGGATTTTCCGGCCGTCTTTATCCGTGTATGAAATGCACCTGTCGCGCAAGTAGTCCGCGATAACGGCTTGCAAGTAGAGGGGCACTTGATGATGTGATAGTCCCCTCTTGATTGCATCCCATGGAATGGAATTAAACGCATTGACGATATCTAAACTTATCGCCAACGCAACCCCACCCTGAGAGACCACCTGCTCAGACAGGGAGCGAACGCGCATTATAGCGTCTATAGTTGAATGCTCCCGTCTGAAACCAAATTGGTTTTCAGCGAGATCGGGACCGACGTACGACAGGTGCCTGTTAAGACGAGTGGCAAGTATCCTCTCGAAAAGCTTGCCAATCTCGTCCAAGAGGCATATGGGACGATACGTAGAGGGAGATTCTGCAGCCCGGCCTTCCTTCTTCAGAAGGACCAATTTAGCTTCCTTCCAGGCCGTAGGGAACTTGGAATATCGGAGGCAGCTGGTGAACAACCGACTCAACCTTTCCCCTAAGGTATTCAAAGTCAAGACCCAAACCGGACTCCGTCCGGCCCTGGAGCAGTGTTCCGGGCTCTCAGGCGGCTAACAGCACGGTCAAGCTCCGACACTGAGACCTCCATCTCTGTCTTCCACTCCCAGGTGTTAATATAGTGGGCTGAGTGACTTGACCACTCTGCCGGAAAAAGCGTATTGACCACTTCCCCTAACAGAGCTGGATCTAGAGTTTCCGTTATGGGAGGTACCCAAGGCTTGAGCTTTCCTAGCACAATCCTGTATGGACGCCCCCATGGATTCCCGTTTAACCCCTCTAGTAGTTCAGCCCATGACCGAGATTTGGCATCGGAAATAGCTCTCTACAATGTCTTTGTAGCCGCTCGGTATGCTATGTAAAGTCTAGCTACTTCCTCAGCTGCCGCTCTTCTTCTCCTCCGGGCTCTAGAATACTGGCGCCTGCATCGCAAACAAACGGCGCGAAGTCGAGCAATTTCTCCTGACCACCAGTACACAGCCCTGTTTCGGTGACGACTGGAGCGAGGCATTGAAGCATCGCAGACTTGTGTCATTGTATCCCGAAACCAGTCTGCTTCCTTTTCGGGGTTGGACGGAACATGTTCATTATTTTCTGGCCAGATTGCAACAATGGCGGCAGCTTCAAGCATGTCCCGATCAAGCTGCTTGAGACACCAACGTCGGGGTGGGCTACTATCAGCCTGGCTGGAAAAGTTAACCTGTTGGCGTGGTGTAATATCAACACTATGTGGCGATGATCCGATAGTGTTACTATTTCTTCTGCCACTCGCCAGCCCGATACCAACTGTATTGCAGAAGAAGTCGCCCACGTTAGATCGACGACCGACTCCCCTTGCCATCGCACGCATGTGCTAACAGACCCGTATTTTAGGCCTCAACAACCTCCATGACCGAGTTAGTACTCGGTTCCGTAACTGGTGCCACTTCAGTCGTTCTGCTGTTGAAAGCATGCGAAGAACCCGATTGGTTCCCTTTCCTCCCTTTATTATGTGGCAGTGAACATCGCTTCCCCAAACGATGTGCTGAGGGCCGCCCCAGATCCGAGCATAGAGGACACTTAGGAGTTTTTGCGACACACTCTTTAGCCCTATGCCCCGACTCACCACAAGTGTAACAACGGGAGCTACGGTCGACATTATTCGGACACTTGCTCCCAACGTGACCAATTTCGAGGCATCTGTAGCAATGTAGGGGTCTGGCCTCTAACAAGTCCACTCGGGCGGACCCCCAACCCACATTGACTGACTTGGCGTCTGCCAACTTTTGTACAGCCGTAATGGGGCATCGTACCCAGCATGTTCCCATACTACTGGGAGATCGGCGGACCTCCCCGACCCTCACGTCATCCACCGAACAACCTCCGGCCTCGGCAACTGCTTTTGCCAGTTCAAACGAGCTGACAGCGTCATCAAGGTCTCTCAATCGAATATCACCCGTTTTAATTGGGCGATTGATTCGAACGTTGGAGTCTGAGAGGATTTCACGCAATTTAGCCCGAGGAGTTACCAGATCTCCCATCGGGCGCGTCCCCAGGTGGCGTATAGGGGAATGCCACCCAGATATGGGTGGTAGCGGAGTGCCGTCGTGGACCAAAACTGGCTGGGTTAGGGGCGTACCCTCGAATCTCTTGCGATTCGAGAAACGGCCAAGTGGGAATCCTGCGAAGGATTGGCTACGAGGTGGGCCTTTACGGCTCTTTGTCACTCCATGCACTTTCTAAAAGAAAGAACAGTGGATGTGACAAGTGCGGCGATGTGCCAGGTGCATTTCGGATTTCACCGACGCCGCACCACCCGTAAACCTTCGGGAGCGGGGGCCATGAGTGGCCAAGAGGAAGGTAACCTCTATAAAAAATCCCCCAACCCTAAGGTCGAGCGTGCCGACGGGTGAATGGCTGGTGGGAAACCAGTCCCAAGCGCTCCGGGGGGGAGGGAGTTATTGCAGGGACCAAACCCTAGTAAAAAAGGATAACATGCAAGCAGTGGGTAATAACAAACTACCCCAGGGTGGTACCGGCGAAGTCGGAGAATCCACCCCTAGGTCTAACCTAGGCAGCCCCATCGTATCTGGGGGGGGGGCAACACACTGCTTTACGGCGATGCATCGGCATCGTCCGTGGATCCCCTGAGAACCGGGGATCAATACAGGGAGGAAGGATCTGTGCCTGGTACCACAGCGGTCCCAGCGCGAAGCTCACGTGGAAGACGGGGTAGACGGGGGCGCTTAGCACGCCCATGCACTTTAGAAGGACAAGGTGAAGGTGAGTCTGATGGCTCTCAGATATCCCTCATTTCGGCTACTTCCGAAGATGCCTGAAAAAGGAAAGCTAAGGCTCCGAGTGGGGACATAGTGGCTGCTAAATACAAAGCGGTAGCAGCCTCTGCTTCAGCCACAGCCACAGAAGGGGAAGACAAAGTAACAGAGTACGATACCGAGGAGGATTTCCAGGACCTGTCGGGTATGAAGTCCAGAGGAAAGACTGTCTTACCTAACCCAGAAGTGTTAGAACTGGAGTTGAAATCTCAAACCAACAGAACGATCGAAAATCACATAGATCTTCAGCTCCAGGAGATTGAAAAGGTTGCGGATCGCTCCCGTAACTTAAAAGGGTGTTTCGTCCGTGGTTTAAGATCGGCTGTCACTAACGTGAGAGCTGCAACCAATGAACTTTCGAGGAGGTCCGGTACTACCGGAATTGTGGCAAGACTGGAAAAAGAAAACGCTGAACTACGTTCAGAGCTTTCCAGTCTTGCCGGTAGGATGGAGAAACTTACGGAAGAAATTAAACACCTCCGTAAGCAGACCCAAGAACGAGCCAGTAAGACCCACTCTTCTGCTGAGTATACTACGCCATCAGGTTCCAGGTATAAGAGCGATGAGGAGAAGACGATGGAACGCATTGGGGCCTTGGTTGAGAGTAAGCTGGCTGCTTTTGAGGCCAGATTATTCCCAGGTGCCACGCATCGTCAGCCATTGGGAACGAAGACTATAGCAACTACTGAGTCGGTGCAGTCGCTGTCCAAATCAGCGAAACCTAAGCGGAAGAGGAAAAGGGCCTTTCAGCCATCGGTACTGGATTTGCCCCCAGTAACTGAGCCCTTGCATCAATTAACAGCATCTGCAGAGAAGAACACGTGGGCAACTGTCACTAAGAAGCCTAAGGCCCAAAAGATAATCAATACTTGGGCAAGGAGACCGGAAAAGAAAAGAACAAGGCGCTTCGTGCCCCTGCGTCTGCGGCTGTAACGGTTACACTTGCACAGGGATCGGCAACAACCTATGCCAAAGTGATGGAAATGGCGGTATTGAAACCATCCGTCAAAAACGCGCCATAACTGGGGGAATATTAATGGAGATCAAAGGTCCCGACTGTAGTCTTAGAGCCGATAAGCTGCGAACAATAAGGCCTACTGAAGCATCAACATCCTAATTATTAAAATAATATTTGCCTCCGCAACAATTAAAATTAATCGTCTTCGTTACTGTTATTTATTATTGTTTACATTAGCTGTGACAATAACAATTACGAATTTTCTGTAACTCTTGTTCCACTCTTAACCCTGCCATTGGTTATGCGGAACACCACCTGTTAAAAAATCTAGCTAAATAATCATTTAGAAAATAAGTTCAAAAATAAAAAAATCATATACTACTATTATTCTTTTTTTGGTAAAAAATATATTCTCGCCCTGGCAAAACTATATCTAAAGATAGTCATCATTAAGACAGGACAACGTCTGTCGGGTCAGCTAGTTCCTTATAAAAATACTAGCCGTGCTTCGCTGTGCCTTATTTTTCCTTTGAAATTTTGGAATAAAAACACTTTCCTGTTATATAGCTATATTGTGAATAAATTCAAATCAAAGCGATAACAGTAACATAATATAGCCAAATTTTTATAAAGATATCATCAAGTGATGATGTGAAACTGATTGCTAGAGTGTAAAAAGGATGTCTGAATAAAAACCATTTTATTACAGTAAAACGAAGTTATCACAGAATTCTCACTCGATAAAAAAGTTACATGATGTGCATTGCAAATTATGTTTCATCTTGCCAACTTGGAATGGTTCCAGTAACAAGTTTGGTTTACATTTATTTTATGAACCATATTTAAGTTGCGCTCTACTTTGCAAAATATATCGCAAAATTTTAGAAAAATGTTTTGCGCAACTCAAAGTTCGTGAGTTAATGTTTATTCATAAACAGCATGTTAGCAGCAAGAAAACTACTGAGCCTTGAATAATAATTTTCTTCTCGAATAATCAAAGCTGTTAAGTTATATGTAAACAAATGTTATATTTTCCAAGAAAAAGACCAAAAACTTTTTAATTCGCACTCGTTTGGCTATAAGTTTATTTACAAGGATTTGACAACGGCTCACCTTGAACTGCTTTGCGAACGTCAAGGAATAATGTTGATAGAAAAGATTTTGCCGATGGAGTTTCAGTTCGAGTGTGCCCGCTGTCAGACAAGTAGACACAATACACACATCATATCTATGACCGCGAAAACAGCATAATAATTGTGTAAATACGATGTTATGTCGTGTGATTGGGCAAAACAATGCATATTTATGGGATAGCAGCATTCGCGGTTGATTTGCTGTGATTATTTGAAGAGTTCTGTTGTCTACCTCCGAAACTCATCATCAGATCTATATGAAATTTAATTGGAACCATTTCGGCAGAAACCCTTTCGAACAAAAAAGAAAAACAATTTAACAATTCTTTTCCGTCTACATATGACGGAGTTATGCCCGAACATACTTAAAAAAAATATAAACATCCGAATTGATATCCTCCTCCTTTTGAATTCGAAAAAGGCTTACTACGATAGATTTTTAAACAGGAAGTGTCTTTTTTCATTGAAAGCATGCATCTTAGTACTACATAGGGGCTGTCAAATGTTGTTTAGCCTTTTAGGCTCTTTGGATTGGTATATAAAAGCATGTTCCTATTGTTATTGCTAAATTTAACATCTTATTTTTTATTAATTATTAAATGTCCAATCTCTGTTTCTGTTTTAAGTGTCAGGTGTTTAAAATGAAGAAGTGTTTGGGAGAAAATGTTGTGTGCAATTTGTACCTATTGAAACTTCCTAGTTTGGAAATATCTATTCTTCATTCTTCGTGAAAAGTCAAGAATAAACGGTAGTGTATGTAATATAAATGTATCTGAAATAGATTTATATTACATAATTCCGGTCGAACTTCCCCTTCGACTAGGTTCTCATTTTGACGTGGCTGATAGACAGTTGGTTTTGTGATACGCTGCTCTCCGTATACGCTGTGACTGAAATATAGTAAGTGAAATGGAGCCACAGAGCAAGTGCACTGCTGGGAAGGTTGCTGCTTATTAGTATTGGCTCTCCTGGCTCTGGTAAGAAGATACGAGGGAGTTCGTTGTTCTTGCAAAAAGGGTAGAGGAGGCACGCACGCTTCATGTTCCAGCGTGCTTTACCCGCAGGAGAGCGGAGTTGCCCCTCGAGGACTGGCTGTTGACGCGGCCAGCTCTGGTAGCGGGTCGCAGGAGTATGCAGAAATGTTCCCGTGGCTCTGCGAAATGTAACTAGCTTGTAAATGGTGGGGGGTTTTTGCCAAAATAGGGGCATTTTCACTTGGGCCACTAAAATGAAAATAATATACATAGATAGAAACAAAAGCTCTATGAATGGCGTCATTTTGGGTGGCATATTTTATAATGTTAAGTATTCTCTTCAATACAAAGCCCGTTGTAACAATGGCGCAGTTTTAAATATTTTTCTAAATTTTGTACAGCCCTTGAGTTTATTTTCTAAAACTAGCCATAAGTTTAAAGTTCAGTTGCAACGGCACTCAAGTTTCGAATTCGCTCTCTTTGTCATAAATCAAACCAATTACCTGAAAGTCACCTTATTGTAATAAATGCATTGTACATTTGTATATAACTGTACATAATAAAGCGTCCCAAATTCAACGCACCTGACTTTAATCTGTTAATACTATCAAATCCGTTGTGATTAGGGTGTAATATTAGTGTGAAATGTGCAATGACTGGAATCAAAAGCTGATAATGCTTGTTGTAATCAGGTCATGTTTATCATATTAAAGGCTTAATAATCTATCGCAACTTAACTTCCATTGGTAAGTTAAGTTGCGCTTACAAAGCGCTCTCCGATGTATGCATGCTTGTTATTTGTAATTATATATTTTAAATATTTATTTAAAAAGAGGGTTAATTCGATTTGGGATTTAGGGTTTTATGTTTCAATTCTAAATTTTTTTATAAGGACATTAAATTTATTTATTAACTTACTATTAAAATTTTTATGCTGAGATCTTGTATTTTCAGCATAGAGTTTTTCATCGAGAGCAATAGAATATAACTTATGCAGGTTGTCTTAACCTACCCAAGTGATATTGATATTTATTGAATTCGTGGCATTCGAAGGAATTACAAGTGACAAACAAACCAAGCCAGTACGACCCCTAGAGTGGCCTTTACGTGACTCGGATATACTTTTCGTGCCTGATCAGATGGAGCGAGTCGCATCGTTAACGTCATGCCAACTCAAGGAATTTCAGAAGAGGGAGATAGTAGTTAATCAATCTGGTATTAGGCCATAGGGCCAGGCCTAATACCAGACTGATAAGAGCTAGAAAGTTTGTAAACAAACTAAGACTGTTGCTACTGCATACAACCCTCAAATACTTACGAAAAAAAAATCGAGATTATCTGGGTAAAATTGATTTTTATCCAAGACAGATTAAGAGCGTTATATTTCAATTATAATTTAATGCATACATATAAAGGAAATATTAATAATTCAAAAATTACGTTATAGAATATGATCGAGAATATAAGTGGTACGATTTTCAGAATCTTTCAATTCGTTTCGATGATAATGTTTTGGGATAAATGAAGCGTCTATGTATAAAACAAAGTGCACATAAATTAAATTACGCTTAAGTTGTTTATCCCATTACCCGATGTTCTGAACCATCTGGTACATCTACTACTCCATAGAGTCAAATGACAAGTAAACCCCACACGTCGAACCCCGTTTTAAACCTTTTTACAATAAAACATTGTTCAGCAGTAAACTTTTTATTGTATACAGTTTTATTATTCCCCGACAAACATGTGGGTGTAGTTAAGATCTTACTTACACACCGTCTTATAATTACGCTGCCTTTATTCATCAGCAATAAACTCGAGACTATTCATGTGTTTATAGCTGACCATGACATTACTTTAATGCTGAGCGTTATATTAAAATTTCCCAGAATTTAATTTATTAGTCATATTTATGTAATGAAAATTTTTTGTAGCATTTGGATGTAACATAAAATCAGTGTCAAATAACCACATAAGATAAGTTTAAGCAACACCAACTAATATTTTTACGTGACAGTTTTCTTTCGGTTGTCAGAAAAACTTTGTATGTTATATATAACCGTAATGATTAATAAATTGTAACACAATAGTGACAGTCCTCTAATAAAGAAAATGCACTGCAAATGTAAAAAATAAAAAGAAAAAATTTGTAAAACCTTATAACACAATTGAATGAATAATTTTTTGTATAAAAAGGTATGAGGTAGGTATAAAACAGGCATGGTTCATTTATCCTATGAGTATACTGATCTCAAACCACGCTCCCAATTAAATCTCAAAAGGTATTCAAAATTATATTTTTTCACATTTTCAAAAATATTAAAAGAGAAGTTTTCATCGGCAATGTTTGTAACTGGTCAATTCTAACAGCTTTCCGTGTCACCCAGGTATTACAACATATTTTGTATAAGTATAAAACTACGCAACAGTCTTCGCAGCTGCACGAATGGGCAAGTCCGTCCGGTACTACGGCCTTACAGAAGTCCAAAACTAGAAAAGTAAGTTGGTTAGAAGTACAGTAAGGTAAAGTAAAAGTACAGAAGTAGAAAAGTAAGTTGGTTACGACCATCAGTTGGTGTTGATGTGCGCGCGCATTGTAAAAAAATTACGCTCATGTTTTTTTCCGAACTCGCCTAAAAAGTATTATTAAAAAAATATTCTTACGTCTTGTTCATTTGTGTTTATTTTGCAAGACATCATTTTGGACCCGCCGGATTACAGATTCATAATGCGAATGTCATATCACGATTTGGATAAATTTTTTAAATAATTCTTTTAAAAACCGTACACTGTCGTCTTGAATAGAATGTCATAACAACACCTTGCTTGCTTGTTGTACCTAGTTGATTAAGTTCTTTTTTATGT